TTATTATTATTATTATTATTATTATTATTATTATTCTTGTTGTTGTTATTATTATTGTTATTCTTTTAGTCTTGTCACTAAGCTGATAAGAAAACTATTTAACTAGTTATCATATGATTGGACATCCACATGTATGGTAGATGAACATAAAATCTCATGGAACCTCTACTCGTTGTTCTGTAATGATTAAGAGATAAAATAGTTTTTGATATCATTACAGCTAATAGATTAACTTCATTTCTTTCCATTTCCAAGAACATATTTTTTTCTTCCAAATTGATCAAATCAGCTATAGAAGGAAATAATACTACTCCAAAAATGCCTAAGCCCAATGTCTTGATTTTATCTATGTTGCTACTTGTTTTTTTTAATCTTTTAGTTGAAGATATCTTCCTAATTTTTTCAATTTGCTTGTCATATCTTTAGCACTCACAAGTTATAGAGTTGTCATGCAATTCCATTATACTAACTGAAATAAACTGTATACATACAGATTTAAGCATCTACAATAATTGTTAATACTCTTTAATAGTTGACACCATGTCTATTTCTTAAAAAAAAATAAAAACACCTACAAGAAATGTCCCAAAAATATATGTGAGCTATACCTACAAGAAATGTCCCAAAAATATATGAGAGCTTTTATAGATTTTTTTGCAAAGGCATATTTAGTACTGCAACCAAATTCTCATATCTTTTATTAAAAGAATGACGATCTTGATTACTTAACTTTTCAAACACTAAAGGAGCCTATCAGGTTTAATGATATGACTAATTTTACTCTTCAAATCAGGGAGCTTGGTATCAAGTTTTTGGTTTAGACAATCCCTCTTTTATTCCTTGCAAGGTTTTAGAATCTTTTTAGAAATGTAATGGGGTTTATGTTACAATCTTATCTTCTATTTCCTCTTGAAAATTTCATAATTTGGAATCAAGATCTCATTTTTGCAAGGCATGCCTGTTATGATATTTCAAAATGACAACCTAGTAAAGGTTCTAGCCATTATATGCATAAGTAAATTTACTAATTAATTGCTCTAAAAAAAGATCATATCATTGCTCAATTGGCATGCCTTAATAGGTTGAATAGAGGCCTAACAAGCAAAAAATAATTGACCGGGGCAAAGCCCTATTGTTGTACTAATCTCGATAGAGTAAACTATTCATGAAAGTTTGGTGGTTTCATGAGTGTTGGCCAAGTCAATAACCATCGGGACATCACTAATTCCCCAATCGTAGCCTTAAGTAACTTGTTTACGAAAAGTTTTGTGTAGTGTGTGCACACCCATTACGAAAAGTTTTGTGTAGTGTGTGCACGGGTATAAGTTCATATCCAAATAAAAAATAATAAAATAAAATAAAAAACACAGGCATATAAAAAATAAGGAATATAAATAATAAAACAAAATAGGCAAAATTAAAACAAACAAAATTGGGCAAGATACATTCATCAATAAACCAAACATGTGAAGCTTAACCTAATATTCAAGACTGTTCCTAATAGAATTGTCATTCGCACTTAAAATCACACTAAAATTAGAAAGAATAGAAAATAGATAAGGATTCACCACCTTTTTAATAATTAAAATTATCTTCCTAAAATATCCTACCTAAATTAAATTGTTTCTATATTCTGAATTAGTTAAAATATACCTATTTGGTATTTCCTAATATTTTACCTAAACTCACATGGGCTGTCCTAAAATGACTTGGGGTCTCAAGGTCCTAAAACGTCTTAAAAATAATCTTGATGGTTAATGCCCTAATATTGCTAATGATGTGCTGCTGCTGCTGCACAGTCGAGGAAAGGAATTGGAGCACAATAATTTAAGCACTCTAAGGTATCTCCTTGAGTAAAAAGCTGCTTGACATAGAAAACTCACTAATAATCAACCCCACGTGAAGGACAATAATAGCATGTGTATTACTAGTGGCAAGGAAATAAAGAAGGCTGAGGGTTGTCGGTGTGATGATAAAACCAGAGCCGACTTCTTTACCTTTTTCTATTTCATGTAGTTTTTGGCATGAATTCAGGGTTTAAGCGAGGGAAGCGTGGGATGGTGTCATCTATGGGAGACACGAGCAATCATATCTACGGTTTTATAACCTGGGAGTCACTTCGACGAAGGCTACCTTTGGCTACACCCACAAAAACTAGTCATTTATGCCGTAAATCCCGCTTCTTGCTTTCCTTTTAGGGTTCTTTCTGTGTAATGAGTTTTAACTCAATGTTCGCTCTGTGTGTTGTGTCCGTGTGTGTGTGCATGCACAGTGAATAGCATTTGTTTTTTGGCATGCTATATCTAGGGTTTCAATGTCCATTTACTGTTTTAGATATTTGGGAAGTAAACATGGGCAGTCTCTTCGTGCATGCAACCCCAAGCTATCTGCTCATTTACTTCACAGAAAGGAGTAAGAAGTGCAATCGGGTTTATGAAAATTTAAAACTTTCAAAAGATCAACTATTCTATGATTATATGTAATTTTTATTC